CAACTCTTCAACAATATCGACCTGCAACACGGTTCTGCGACAGACATGTTGCAACGGATGAGAGAGGTTATAGGCCCAAGAACAAAGTATTCCATGTGCATGGAATCCGGAATTTTGGAAGTGAATCTAACAACAGGAGACAAGTGTTGAGGAGGTGGATAGTTTAAACAAACACAGATTCAGATTTTTGTGGTAAGGACAGAAGGCCTACTGCCTATGTTAGTCCTTTTCTAGTATGCTTCTGTGAGTGTCCAGTCTTCTCTTGAAAGAGTCAATTGAAGGTGTGGACACCACTGCTTCAGGCAGCAGGTTCCAAGTATTGACGCGCTGTGAAAACCTGTATGCCACGGGTATTTTGTTCGTTCTTGGCTTTTCTACTCGCCTACTATGTCCTCTGAGGTGTCCCGATCTAGTGGGAAGAAAGAGAGAGAATAAATTAGGTCCGAAATCATTTCTCAGTATTCTGTACATCAAAATTAGATCTCCCCTTAGTCTGCGATAGGACAGAGTAAAGAGGTTCAGTTTTTCAAGCCGCTCTTTATATGATAAACCCCGGAGTTCCGGAATTGCACGCGAAGCTGTCCTCTGTACTTTTTCTAGTATGTCTGAGTCACCTTTTAAACAGGGGCTTGCAGCCTGAACGCAGTTCTCTAGCTTAGTTCTCACTAAGGATGTGTATACTGTGGTGAACATGGTAGTATCTAATTTAGTGAATGTCCTTTTTAAAGCCCAGAGGGTTCGAAATCTCTTAACTGAGACCTCCCGGCAATAGGCCGTTGTCTTAAGATCATTACTCACTGTCACCCCTAGATCCTTATGAGACCGGACTACTGATAATGGCACATCCCCTATGTTGTACGTATTAACCTTTGAATCATCCAAGTTTATGTAGACACACTTTTCTGAGTTGATAGGCATCAGCCAATCTTTAAACCAGTTTATCATATTATTTAAGTCTGCCTGAAGAGTAAATGCGTCTTTGTCTCCAGTTATTACTCGCCAAATTTTTACATCATCAGCGTATAATAACATTGGAGACTTTACTATATTGTAAGATCATTAACGTACTGGTCTCCAGATGGAGCACTTGGAATTTATTCTTACTTTCTGTCTACGACCTACTAGGAAATCTTTAATCCATTTTAAAAGAGGTCCAATAATACCAAGGCTTTCCAACTTCAATAGCAGTCTATTTGTTGGCACTTGTCAAAAGCCTTACTGAAGTCTATGTAGACAACATCCACTGAGTTTCCGTTGTCTGGCGCATTAATCCAGAACTCCCTTGCTATAAAGAGGTTCGTTGTACAGGTTAGACCCTTTCTAAAACCATGTTGTTCTATATTTAGCAAGTTGTTTGTTTTCATAAATGCCATTATGTTCCGTTTGACTATTCTCTCTAATATTTTAACTACAACACTGGTCAGGCTTACAGGTCTGTAGTTCGATGGAAGTTGTCTTGGTCCTGTTTTATGTGTTAGAGTGACGATTGCGTCCTTCCAGTTCATAGGTAACACACCTTGGTCAAGCGACGTATTGAATATCACAGTCAATGGGGCCGCGATATATTGGGCAATTTTGGGTGTAGTTCATCTGGCACTGTTGACTTCTCCATGTTTAGGGTGCTAAGAGCCTTAAGCACATCGTTTTGGTCGAAGTCCACGGTGAGCAGCTGGTTTGTTGACTCTGTATTTGGGTCTGGTTCTTTCTCTAGAGGAGGTTCCTGAGTGGAAACTGCCCCAAAATATTCAGCCATAGCCTCTACTTTTTCCTGATCTTCCTCTATCATTGCAGATTCACTTCCTACTTTAATTAGGTTGGGAATCCAATGATGCATCCTTGTTCTGTAGTTTATGTACGAGAATATTCTCTTGGGCTGCTTGAGTGCAGATTGTGCCAGCTGCATTTCATATTTTCTTTGAGCTTCCCGAATTTTAGTTATACACTCGTTTCTTATCGATCTGTAGCGTTCCATCGTACCTGCTGTGCCAAGGCGGATGGCAACATCCCAGCATTTCTTCTTTTGTCTCAGTAAACGTCGAATATCCCGCCCTATCCAGGGATGTCCGTGCTTCTTTTTCTTTGGGACAGTCCAGGGTATGTATGGTTGAGTTACCCGATTGTATAACTGCCTGAATAGAGTCCATGCCTCTTGTACTGATGCCTTTGAGTCAATTTCCCAGTTCTCAGCCGATGCTGCGGAGTTAATTGCCTGCATATCTGCCTTCCATATGTTAGGAGGGGCCGGTGCAACTGTTTGACAAGCAATCTCAGCCATGAATTTAAATAAGATGACTACATGGTCACTTCTCCCAAGTGGTGGGAGAAAAGTCATTTGACCAACGTCATCACCGCGTGTGAAGACTAAATATAGTAGAGAAGAAGAGTTTCTTAAGTAATATCTTGTGGGGTTTCTAATGTGTTGGGATAAAGCTTATCCAATCGAGGTTTCTAACTCTTTGCATTCGAAATACGTTATCGATGACCACATTTCTAAGTTAACCCAGTTTGTATGTAGTGCATTAAAGTCGCCTACTACAAGGCTTTTACCCCTATTACACCAGGACTTAAATTTACCTGGGAGAAAATCATCTACACATTCTGAACTGCGATATACTACAACTAATTCAATATCTTACCGTCTACATTTCAGCTTACATCTCACCAGTTCACATGTCCCTGAAACATGTGCTCCTGTCTCAGCTTATCTTATGGTTAGGGTACTTTTCGTGTACAGATTAACCCCGCCCCCCCTACGGTTTAATCTATCAGCCCTGCTGGTTATGAAACCAGTCAACTGGATTTCAGAATCTAATACTTATGATGTTAACCAAGTTTCCGATACAGCAATAGCATCCGGTTTTTCTCTATCCACCAATGACTTGAGCTCCGCCATTTTACTTAGTAGGTTGCGAGCATTTGTGTGGCATACCGTTAATTCTGTGTAGAACTTTCCCTTACCACCCAGAGTGGTTTGGGGATCGTTTTGCTCCGAACTTTTACAATTTGAAAACCCTTAAGAACGAGATATTTTTCATCATTTCGGCGACGCTCGTTTATTTTCACTTCTGCAGCTCGCCTCTTAGTACGATCAGATAGACAGAGATCCTCACGGACGTATATTCCGGATCCAATCAGTTTACGTGAGTTACCTAGAATCAGATTTCTTTCTTCAACCGTGGCAAATGTAACCTTCAAGAGGCGGTTTTTCTGAGGACTTTCAGAATCCACCTTTTGTCCTATTCTGTAAAGCTTACAAATACTAACTCCTGAAACCGTATCTGGGAGTAGTTTACTTATTAAGGACTTAATATGACCGAGATCGTCTTCAAATCTAGCCTTATCGGAAGATTCTCTTAACTTATGAATAATGACTGACCTCTCAGAGAGATCTGCCTTGACACGCAGTGGAGTTTCTGTTTCTGACATCGTCTCTTCCAATGACTTGCTAACCAGCTGTGTTTTGCCCAAGGCTTTTTCTTCTCCTTCCTTCTTCTCCTTACCTAAGTCCATTTATCATCACTCAGGACAGCCACCCCGGGACTATTTGGAACGGTACAGTTTTATCCGGGTCTTCAATTTCCACTTGAGGTGTATGCTTACCGATGTCAATATCAAGCGGCAATTCACTCCTCGTTAATGTTAACGGAGATTTCACTTTCCTGTCAATCACAGTCGGGTGTTTAGCGGGTCCGGTAGCAGCATGTACTACACTGACAAATTCTTCACCGTCAGTGCTCGTGTTATCAGCGCAACCGCCATCAATTTTCTTACAGGCCAAAGCCAATAGACTCATAGCCTCCTAAATTAGTAACTTTTTATTTGTACAGTAAAACATACAAAGCCAATGTGAGCTAGGCTTCAAGCATCTTTTGTATGCCGTAGTGTGGTGGACCAAACAATATATAAACGCAAAAGTATAAACAAAGTTACTAACAATCAATAGTAATATTAATATTTACAAGTTAAATGTTACAAATACAATAACAAATTAGGGACGTTACTTAAATCGGCTAGTCGTTGCGTGTTCTGTTGAGTCTTGGTCTCAAAATTCCACAATTATAAATGCGTAATAATTCCACAGAGGTAAATATGACGCCAATAAGTTTCTTTGACATAGGATATAATGGAAATGACACAGCAGTCTGAAATGAGGATAATATCCAGTTTAGAACGCAATTGACTTGGTAACGAACGACAATAGAACAATGGGTATGTGCGTAGTAGTGTATTTGTGAACAACCGAAAATGTGTGTCACGCTATGTTAGTTACACAACGGAAAAAGTCTTCAAGGTCATTTACTTAAACAACAGGTACAATCATTTAATGATAAATGTACATTCAGTGAGAAATGGACAAATACAAATAATATTAAAAACTATTTACAAAATAAGCTTGTCAGATATATCTCCACAGTAGGACTTAGACGTGTACACAACTTATGGTACCACTTTTTGCACTCATCGCACTGCATTCCTTTCCCAACAGGGAACAAGCAGTTTGGTTTCCCACATTTATGAGTCTCACTAATCATTGTAATTTGATTAGAAAGGTTTAAAACACAATATAATCACAATGTGAACACGAGTGTCAGTCAATGAGTAAAAAAAGTACCAAAGGACAGCGTTCAGCAAAAGTTTCAAACCTTAGCCAAAGCACTTTTAGTTAAAGAAGACCAAGAATGCTTTTTGGTTCAACAAGTACACAAAGCAAGGATAATCACGACAAGTACAAAAATAACTGCCGTTTTTGAAACGAGCGCGGTAGCGGTATAAATAAATTGGAATATATACTTTGAAGAGTGTCTATCGGATCACTGATGGGTCCAAAATTTTTGGTGTTTGTGGCTCCCTCTATATACTCCATCAGCACATCTTTAGAAATCTGCTATCCTTTTCAGCGTTACTAAGTTTCAGCTACTCAGTAGCTTATAATCGGGCGGGTGTTTCAATTCTCCACGGTACTAGGGGCTGGGATTTGTCTGGTTTCTAATTTTATAGGCATGTCTTATGTAAGTTCCATATTAATTTCTTAATTCATATCAAACAGCAGTCTCCACTTCACAATGGAGCTAGTAAGAGGAGTGCTTATCTTGGAAAAGATGGTTTACCAAATCTGGACTCATTAAAGATCCAGTCCAAGGACTCAAATGTTGATAGAGAATTTAAAATTGACTCAGGAGCTCACGTTAACGGTTTAGCTACGGCACTTGCAAATGGAATTTCTTCTGTTGAGGGTTACGTTGGTTACTCCAACTTACCTAACCAGGTTTGCTTGTCGAATTCCGGATGTTTTTCCTAGCGTTAGATTTATCGGAAAGCTGTTCGCAAGGGGTTTGAATTCAACATCCTTGTTGTTGGAGAATCAGGCGTTGGAAAGTCCACGTTCGTGAATTCACTGTTTCTCAGTGAAGTTTACAACACTGATCACCCTGGCCCATCTAAACGTCAGAGAAAAACTACTTGTGTTCAGTCACACACAGTTATACTTAAAGTAATATCTAAAGTTACAAAGCATTTTTTACCTTTCAAGGAAAATGGTGTTTATCTAAAGCTCAATTTGATCGATACTCCAGGGTTCGGCGACTGTATAGATAATACTAACTGTTGGCAACCGGTTCTGGATTATATTATTTCGCGCTTCGATGATTACATTTCTGGAGAGAGCCGAGTCAATCGTCCGTGTCAGAGCATCCCAGATCAGCGTATCCATGCATGTATTTATTTTATTGCTCCGACAGGTAAGTTTGTTATGCCGAATGTACACAAAATAATCATGTTATTTATCTAGTTATTCAAACTCATAAACGTTGGTGCAATGTGGCACCAAATATATATGCACCATACAAATTATTCGGTTTGTATGAAGGCTGGGATACTGCCCAGTCTCTCAAATTGAAGTATGTAGTTTTCTTGGAGGGTTACAACCCGAGTTTTTGACCTATAGGTCCAATCCACAAGACAGTGGAGCAACATTGAAAGATGCAGTCCCATGGTAGCCGGTGACCAATAATAGGTTCATACGGCATTTGTTCCCTCATGATACTGAAGCCCATGTACACCAGTGATTTGTAATCAGGGTTTCCCAACTCCCTTAGGTGGATCCTCCATATCCACCAACCCAGTTAAAGCCTCGGACATTCGATTTTCGTCCCTAATTTCGTAAACAACAGTAATTCCGTGAGAATGTAGTGAGTCGGACTTCCCTGACAGTGATTGTATGTACGTAGCCATATGAGAGCATTTCAAGAGGTAGAGTGGACTCTCCTCACGCTTGACCGTACCAGGCGTTCTAGACTTGATTATTCATGTTAATCTATTGATGATATACTTAAAGTACCCTGTTACTTCCACAAGCTTATAAGTTATTTGTGTGGTTGGAGACAAACTGATGTCCAGCTTTTTCAGACAATATATCAGTCACTATTCCAGTTTTGGATAATTATTATCACTGCACAAATTTGTCTGGTAAAGAGCTTTATTGATGGGGTTAGTTTTCAGAATTGCAAGTTTTTGTCACATTTTTCACTTATGTTATCTTTTCGTTTGTATTTTTAAGCTTAGTAAATTAATTTGGCGAGTGTTTAAAATTTGCGTTTTTCACAATAATATGTCTCAAAGTAATTCATTAGTCAAAAATTCATTGATAAATCATAAAATGTTTGGATAGGCATACTTCTGAGTTTTTATCAATCAATAACTTTCGGTCAGGTTTTGCCTGTCTTTTGGAGCATCCCACAAATTCAGAATGTGTTCGAAATTGATCTATCCATTAAAGTCAAACTCAAAATTGTATGGAGTTGTGGACTATTTTGCGACATTTTCCGACTGGTTGGTTATTTTATTCCGGTTACACAGTTTTTTTTCAGAACTTATTTGAATATTGGTTACTAAGTTGTATAGACCAGTTTCAACTCCATAAGTTAACCCAGGTTGGCTTTTGCTGTCTGCTTAAAGACAAGCAAAGATAGCATTCCATTCAGTTCATCCGACTTGTTCTTAATGGCACTTTATAGAACCAAACCAACATATTGTTTTTATACTATACTTTACACTAAATTGGAAGGTTTCTTCATGCCTGTCGTACCCAATGCGTTCCATGAGAATGTTAGAGAGCATAACTTATCTTGTTACTTAATTAGTTAGAGCTAAGTTCTAAAGCCCTTATATTTTTCAGGTTATCCAGGTTTTTCGAATGAAACGTAATGCAAATCAACACATTAAATATGGATAAATCAGTTGCGTTTATTTGAAGTACTGATGTAGTCAAGTTGTTCATTGTTTCTGTAATTTTATTCATATAAAAGAACTCTGAAAATCGATCATACTATCTTTTTATTGAAATCTCAATGAGTTTGAATTTGTTATCAAAGATTAACGCTTCAATGTTTATCACTTTTTTTTCCAGGACATTCACTGAAACCATTGGATCTAGAATTCCTGTCACGCATACAAGATAAGGTTAACGTAATTCCCGTGATCGCTAAAGCTGACACATTGACTCCAGAAGAATGTCGTGAATTCAAGAAAACAATACTAAGTGACTTAGCATCTAGAAAGATACGCGTATTCGAGTTTATCGACCCACCTGAATGCTCAGGTAATTATGTTGGTGTCTTTATTTTCAGCTGTTGATTTGTACTCAGAATATCTTCTCGAAACTGAATGATCTGTTTACCAATATTTATATCCATACCACTGCTGTGTCGTTTTGTGAATATCATAACAGGTACCTAACCAAGTTTGCTTGTACATTTATGTCTATAAAAATATCTCAGAATTCCTCGAGTTACTACCTAGTCTGGTATTTTCAGAAGGATGTTTTCGGGGTACAAAACGTTACTTCGTTTGAATTTTCACGCAACAATCATTTATTTAAAAATCAAAGTGGGATCTGACACACACCGCTTTAAGTTACAACATCACATTAGTACGGTGAGATAGAATTGCTTCAAGATAGATCTCAGAGTAATAGAGGTGATAACAATATCAGTTGTAGTGGTAAAAATGTAAGTAAAGAACAGAAAAAAATGTATAGGGAGATTTCGGGGTCCAGATTCTTAAAGAAGACAAGTAACAACTGCACCTCCGCTATTGCGAATGGCTCTGAGATATGTCACTTAACATCTCTAACCATTGATGACAAGTTACAAGGACTTCAACCAGGTGGTCTACACCTTCAAACTTGACTCGGTTTTACTGTCAGTGACTTCGTTTGGCCTCTTCTAACTTTATTTCAATCTACTCCTACAACAGACAACATTGCCCCCAGGTGGTAGGTGGTTGGGCATACGTGAAATATGTCCCAACCACCTCAGTTTGTGAAGATTTACTACATCAATTAATTTGCCATCTTAACCTAATAGCCTATACCTATTCTCGGCATTGCTTGCCCAGTGGTCTCAAAATACACAAGGAACATTCCGAAGACACCTGTGATCGAATAGTAGTAAGATGCAAATATCCTCTACTCAATGGCCATGTTTCACATTCATACAAGAGAACAGAGCGAACTGCTGCGTAGTGAACTCGACCTTTGGTTGCCAGATGGATGTCTCACTTACGCCACAAGTGATGCTAGTTGGCGAAAGCCAATTGGGCTTTCTGAATCCGTGCCGATATTTTGTCAGATACCAGTCCATCGGGACTGATGACTCCCAAGGTAAGTAAAGCGGTCTACAGGCTCAACGATTTGACTCCCTATCATTAGTTCAGTCGCTGATGCAGGTTAGTTCTGAAACAAAGTTTTGCATCTTAAGGTTGAGAATCACATCCCAAACATCCAATGCCAATCTAATAGTTGTAAGCTAATAAGGAGTATATATGTAATTTTATCGTTATCTGTGTAAAAGTAGATTTAGATTTAAGAAGGATGATAAATCAAATCAATCAGTTTGCATAAGTATAAAAAGAGAAAAACCTAAATACGTACTACTAGACGAGCCCATCATATAAGTATTACCCCCCTAAAAATCATCTTACAATTAAAAAAATGAGAGCGCTATTGTTTGATTGTTTTTTGGGTTCAGATTAAGAAAGTCAATACTGAGGTTGGGCAACGGATCTAAAATTAATTGACGTTAAGGTTTTCCCGTTACATTCTGTTCGCATGAACTGCGTGCCAAATATGACCACATCATATTCAGCAGTATTGAACCCATGCATTTGACTCAGTATTAACACTTCTCAATCATCTGATTTGGCGAATGAAAATATTTTTTATAAAAACGTCTTAACAAATCAGCTTTAGTTGGGGATCATGTTTTCTACTCAACCGTTTTTTATAAAAGCCCTTTTTAGTTTTTTCCTTTTTTGAGATAAATATCTGTTTGTTATAGTTTTGATTTTTTATATAACGAATGTTTAAAATATTTTTTATTTCTAGCGTATATTACGATAATACATTAATAAGGATAATTACGTTATATCAGAACTAAGATTCACGACCCGAAATAGAAAACTAGATTAACACTAGATAATACTTTATTCAATAAAAGCAGTCATACTCAGTGAGTTCGGAGTAGAAATCAATGATAGAAAGGAAAATCACATATTTAATAGCCCGTAGGCTGTGGTTGTTTGTCCACGCTCAACGACCAATTATTATTTTATTTCCACTAATACATATAATTTTTCCTTTTACTTAAGTGTAATTTATTTCATTTTATGGGGACTATTTATTTTGTTCTCAGAATTTATAAAATCATTTTTGGTACATAAAAATGTCACATTTTTCAGTATACCGACTTTTCTGTTTCAAATAGATCGGAGCAACGATGAGGAATTAGTTAAACTACGACGACTACGTGATAGGGTTCCCTTTGCTATTGTCGGAGCTAATACACTGATTACTAATAATGCTGGAGTTCGTGTTCGAGCACGCTCTTATCCTTGGGGTATCGTCGAGGTTGAAAACATGGATCATAATGATTTTGCTGCCATACGGTATCTTTTGTTAAGCGTTTACATGCAGGTGGGATTTAAAAAAGATTTTCACAAATTCTTAGGCGTTTGGTATACTTAAGGATTTGATGTGTATTCTCAAAGTAGATTGTATCATGTATGACGGATTGATAAATACGTTTTCTGTTTAATATCTTTTGTCATTTACGGTTTATGGTTAGAGCTTATACACCCAAATAAGTCTTGTTTTTAGTTATGCTTATAGTCGGATCATGATTATAAATGTATTTTCAAAAAACAAGCGTTAAGCCTGGTGTAAATAAGATTGAGTCTCAGTTTCCTGGAGTTTTTCAATAAGACATTATTTTCATTTTTCCACTTGACGTGGAACATGACAACCATGTTTTGTTTGTTTTTCTATCGAATTGATCATTCTTGCAGTGTAAAAACTTGAAATACTATTGACTATCAATAAACAAGCTGCTACTACTACTACATTGATATCCCTATACGGAATTACCTCACCCTTATCACTTTAGAAATATTATTTTCATTCTTGTCTAATAGTAGATCTGTTTAATACAATGGATCACACCAAACATTGAATTTTGCGTTCTGATTGATACTTAATGGCTATTTCATTGAATTTAGTTTATTAACAATGACAGTTAAATGTAAGCACATGAAATTTAATTATAAACGGTTGAATAATTTTAGGTTGTTTGTTGTAATGATTATCTTTTCCATTTGGTAGACATTTTACTTCAAATTGTTTGTAAATCGATTTCCACATATTAGTGGAAATCGATACTTTGTTTAAATTATTTTTAGTTTGAAATTAGTTTACAATATAGTTTGACTTTATTTTAACTACAATCAAAAGTGGAGTAATGCTAGAAAACCCTTACGGTTTTCTAAAACCCAGATTTTATTATCCAGTAAGATTCTGTCATATAATATAATGATATAAATCTTTATAATTTGGTGTGCTGATTCTTTTTTGCTTGAATACAATACTTTTGCGTAGCTATTTTCCGCTGGAATTTCTCTTTTCTCACTCGCTAATGGATTAAGGGCTAACTTAAGTCCTATGTGTCAATGTTGCCAATGTGTGGCGACCGCATCCAAATGATTATTTTCTCTCTCCCATGCTTTTTTTAATCTCTGTATTTTAAGACAATCATCATTAATTATAAAACCATAAAAATCAAAGTTTTTCTACTTATTTCCTCTGATCTCAGTTATCAGTCTTGATGTTAAAACATGACTTATAATTCGAAAAGATTAGGGCAGTCAAACTAAGACATGATACCCACCGATAAATTCAGTGATTATTGGTGTAAACTATACAATTGATTCATATGGGATCTTTAAAATGTTAAAAATCAGTAGTCAGTTTGGTACTTAGTTATTCATCCCATTATTGTGTTAATTACTTCATTTTCATTACTGTCGACTAATTCCCTTCTGTTCTGTTACGATGCATAACCGTTTAGACCTCCACAATTTATATCTGTTCTTCTGTTCTTATGGTATCAACTCATTGGTAATCACTAACAATTGATTACAAAATCATTTATAATTATTCGCCATTTGGTTTCTTTCACCGGTATATGAAGAAATAAATCGTATAATAGCCTTATATACGTTACACACACTTTCATACAGTGACTGACTATAAAATTATTTATCTGCCTAAATATTGATAAGTGAAGCAAGGTTTGATCTTATTTCATAATCTTTAAAAAAAGATGCATAATTGTATCAAACAATAAAAGTAACAACAAGATAAAATAATTCGGTAGTCCTGAATTTTCAGTCTGTTTAAATTTGTAGTTATTAACTTGAAAATGATGAATTTCTTTTGTTTAAAAAAACTACATTGTTACGTTTAATATTTTTAAAGGGTGAATAAAACAGATTTTATTTTTGATAATAAATCCAATCAAACTTTGTTATTTACTGCTAATGACTTATGAAAATTTCACTAAAAACTACAACTACCCTACCTAACTTTTATGATACCATGGAATACATTTCGGTAGAAACAATAATAAGGGTGAATATTCCTAGCGCCGACTACTGTAAATAGTGACCGTAACTAAATTCCTCTTATTCTTTAACTACCGGTAATCCTGTGGAAGAGTCAAATATTGACTAAGGAGTTTACTGGACTTAACAAAAACTGTAGGATTCTTAATAATAGTATTTATGATCTTGTTGCATATGGTTTGTAATACAATTATTATCCCAATATTTTATTTACACTTTCGATGTTTGCTGTTAACCGGTCAGTATTGTTTGTTTATTTTGTGATTAGGAATTACGTGATGTGACTCATAATGTTCATTATGAAAATTATCGAAATGCCAAACTTTCAGGCATTGCTTTGGAGAGCCACTTTCAAACACGTGATGGTAAAGATCCAATGGCTCTCATGGAAGCTGAGAAAAAAGAACATGAAGCCAAAATGCGTAAAATGGAAGCAGAAATGGAAGCTGTATTCGACCAGAAAGTAAGTCAAATCTAAACATGATCGATTTTAAGATCCTGTACCTCGGTTAAAATAGCTTCAGATAAGTACTTTGCGCCAACATTAATATATGAAATGTTATCCAACATATACAAATAAATTTCTATATTCATAGTTGGTCTTTTATAGTGATCACGATATCTTAAATACTAATTTTATGCACAAGATGTCAGAACAAAGTATAATTATCATTGACAAGTAAAGTACTTACTCATTTTATTTATTTATTTGAACACATAGACATTGGTATAGGGGAGCACCAAAATACATATGTGCCATACAATATCAATCAGGCCTGAAGTAGTTATTATTGATTTGTGTGAGGGCTGTGATACTGCCCGAGTGCCCAAACCGAAGCACTTGACTTTCGTCCGCGGCCACACTCCTGACAGTGGAGCAACATTGAGAGATGCAGTCCCATGGTAGCCGGTGACCAATAATAGGTTCATACGGCATTTGTTTCCTCATGATACTGAAGCCCATGTACACCAGTGATTTGTAATCAGGGTTTCCCAACTCCCTTAGGTGGATCCTCCATATCCACCAACCCAGTTAAAGCCTCGGACATTCGATTTTCGTCCCTAATTTCGTAAACAACAGTAATTCCGTGAGAATGTAGTGAGTCGGACTTCCCTGACAGTGATTGTATGTACGTGGCCATATGAGAGCATTTCAAGAGGTAGAGTGGACTCTCCTCACGCTCGACCGTACCAGGGCATTTGGGGGCACTTACGACTGTTACTCCTCGTAAAGGAGCATAGGCCGCCCACCATCCTTCTACATCGAACTCTGTCCTGGGCTATCCTTTCTAGTTGTTTCCAAGTGCCATTCATTCTTTTGGTGTCTACTTCCGATTCCCTGCGTAGTGCGTTCTTTGGTCTGCCTCTTTTTATTTTCCCTTGACGATTCCAAGTTGGAGCTTGCGTCGTGATGCAGTTTGGTAATTTCCACCATGTATCTCCTTTCCACTTCCAGTGTCTTTTCTTAATTAACTATTCAGTTGGAAGTTGGTTTGTTCTTTCTAACAGTAGGCTGTTGGTGATGGTATGCGGCAAATGGACATTGAGTATCTTGCATTTATTTATTTTTTTACTTTAACACATAGATATTGGTACAAGGAGACATCATATACATATGCGCCACACAGATCTCATTTGATATATGTGAGGGCTGTGATACTGCCCGGGTGCCCAAACCTCCACGAGCGGTAACGGGCGTAAGAAAGTAAGTTCGTACTTCAAGAGACTAAGCTTATTTCATGACTGAATGTGAAATGTTCAGTGTTGATAAGCCGTTCTTGCGTGTAATGTTTTACACGTGATAAACTGGAAAAACTGATATCATCGAATACTTCATACGAATTTAAGTAACCCAATACGGTTTACCACAGCATATGTAACTGGCAAAATAAGGTTATCACACTGATTTCGTTTAAAGACTATGTTACTCATTGTTGTTAATATCAAAGTTTGAAACTTGACTATAACCTTTGAAACAGAGAACATATCGTTGAGTCAGTAAATAGATATTCACTATTACCAGTTTTCCAGGTGGTGTCAGTCCGTAATGAGAGTAATCTCATAAAATTTCTACTGGTGTAATGCGGTTTTCAATATAAAGTTCGTAAAAGTTCAAAAAAAAATTTATTTTCAGACGTATTCGTACCGTTTTAATTATTGCTCGCTTGATGAATAAAATCCTAATCGGAAATATGTTACAGCATATATTATTAGTGAAAGTAAAAAAAACAACAAATAGTGACCTTATTTTTAATAAATATTAACAATAACGGAATATTTATCTATAAATAAAATTGTGATTTCAACCTTAACCTAGATATTGCAACTTCTAACATTGTTTTTCATTTATAAGTTTTAGAATACCGAAATTATTAACTTAATCATGTGAAATAAAATACAGATGAAAAAAAATCATTTCGACATTTCTGATTTAAAATTACGTTGCATGGAAAATACTATAATAGTAATTTAATAACTCAGCCTGTAGCTCTTCTAGGGTTACTGCCGGTCGTAAACCGGGGTAAAGATTGAGGATTGGGCATGGGGTCAACTACCCTATCCCGTAGAAAAAACGCTTACTAGAATAAAGAACTTAAACTCTACTCTCCGTTTTGAAGGATCTTCATTCAGAAGAATTATAACGCCTCATGATGAAAGTCGAAATCCTTTGGAAGTCATAAGGCCGATGCCCCTTCTAACAACTAGAGCAACAATTAATATAGGTACATGGAATGTCCAGATAATGTGGGATATCAGGAGGACCAGTCAAATAGCTACGGAAATGAGATAGAACTTGGCGGTGCTTGGAATGAGGAAAACCGATTAGACCTAAGCTGAACGGAAAAGGCTAGATTCAAGAGAGATGTCGCTGTACTCTGTTCACGAAGACCAAAATGCTCCACACACCCATGGAGTTGCTCTGATGCTGTCTTAAAATGCACGGAAAGTGTTTTAAAGTTCTAAGTATAAAACTAGATGAGCGTAACTCACTTTAAATGTAAGTATTCTTTTTTTACATTTCCCTATTAATTAACAAGGAATTTAAAGTAAAACAGATTTTAATAGCACTGCTGTTGCATTATTATGATCAGGATCAAGCAGTGGTTTCGTTTATCTTGATTTCTGTCAATCAAATCGTCCCATTTTACCGTATCATACAACTCCAACTTCTGTTACGTAAATGTTTTTTTATCTATATTCTATAACTGATTTCTTTAGGATGATTAGGCGTAAAAACGTTTTGTATATTAAACAGACTTTAATGTTCATGCAGCACAGTTGAGGGGTTTGTATGGTAAGTGTATTTATTGCTCATTATTCTATACTACACGCTAACACTTCTGTACTAAAATAATCTTTTTACTCATGGTTTAAAAACTGTATACATTTATTTGCTAATGTTGCGAACTATTCAAAAACCCTTCTCTGTATATTCTTTATTTTCATTTTTTGTTGACAGTTAGAGGTAGTTATTAACGTTTTGCTGTGTATTACAATAATGATTCTAACAATACAACCTAACTTTTTGTGATAATCTCCACTTTTAATACTTGGTTTTAATTTCATCCTGCAATATTGTGTACATTTAAATTCATTGTTATCACACGTATCTTCAATAGGTTGAAGAAAAAAATCAGAAACTTCGTGAACTAGAATCTGATTTAATGCGACGTGTAGAGCAAATGAGAGAACAATTAAAAGCCCAAGAATTAGAACAAGAAGCTGCTCGACGTGCATTTGAATTAGAACGTCAAAATTGGGAAGAAAATTGGCGTGAATGGGATATTGGTGCAGAGATTGGGACAAATGGTCCAACACTAGGCCTTGGTGAACGAGTTATGAATGAGGTAATTAAAGAACGTGTAAAAACTGAAAAGAAAAAGAAAGGACTTTTCTAATTTCTTAAAAATTACATTCTTGAACTGGTGAAATAATAGGTATATTTTGTTCCCTATTGGGATTATATTTCTTCACTATTGCTAAGCCAAATCAATTGAATATAGTATCCGTTTACTATTTACGGTATTTGTGCATTTCAGAATAATTCCTTTGATGTTATAAAATCAGGTATTTTTGACGATCCTCATTTGCATTTACATCACCGGATAATTTTCCTTATCTTCATTGTTACTGTTGTTTTCGCTGCTGATACTACTGTTTTTTTCTAGTCCTCGTGTTTTCTCTTCGTTCTCGTCGTTGCCACTGTTTTCTTTTTGTACTAAATATTTTGATTTTATCAATGCTGTCGTTTTTATTCCTTTTCCATTATCCGAGTGACAAAGAATCCATATGAGTATATTATTAATTATTATCTATCAAAAATTGTCACTAGTATTAATAATGTTATTATCAAAATATCATTTATTAGTAGGTAGGTATAAATTATTTATGACCTCAATCTGTAACGATTTGTTGTTTTGCAATGATTAGACTTTATTTCAATTAACTATTACTAATAATGTGTTTTCTAAACGATAAACGTCAAGTCAATGCATGTTATGATGTGAACAAACAGGTATAATCATGTATCTATCAAACTATCTTTATTTGCATTTTTCTTCACAAATTTATTGCATTCATAACAACATTTATGTTAACTTATCTGTTTTACTTCGTATTTTTATTTGACAATCAAAATTCTCGTGCTTTATTATATTCTTTTCGAAAGGTATGCGAACAATCCATATTTTATAAATATACGCATCTATGTATTAGTGTTTTGTTTTCGTGTCGGTGGGAAAATTGGCCAAGTCAGTAATAGTTCTGTGGTGAGCGATGTTTACACTACCTAGAATCGTTTTGATTGATATATCCACTTCGGGAAATAATAAGTTTAATTCAAGCAAAACAAGGTGGTCTGTAAATGAGGTATCATTGATTGAATCTAAAGTTCCGTCCCATGAAATATATATCTGCAAAGCATAAACAATCTCAGTAACCGAATATTAACCGAAGAGGATAAGTTGGGTTTTAGTCCCAGTCTCTGTGACATCAACAGCGGTTCAACGAGAATGACTGCACTTATCAATAACCTGCATTAGCTGAACTGGAATAAAGGAGACGAAACGAAGATAACAGCAAGTTTTACTCACAAAATGCTTTGTCTTAAAAGGGGTAAGAGTGTTTTGACAATTCGGAGTTTGGAATACTTCCGTTAAAAACATTTGCCGATACTCAGGAACATCCAGTGTTATAAGACTGCTTACGAACAATTTCCATCCAGTTTTAGTTCTTTCATGGCAATAGTAAGTGGCCTAAAAGTCATAAGAGTTATGGGAAAGAGCCTTGCAATTACGGTGGTGATAAGATTGTCAATCGGAAGAATTCCATGACTAAGTTAAATCATCTATTTTTGAAGGATTCTATGTTAACCCTAACGACTTCTAAATTCGATTTCCCGGTGTCATACGTTTAGATGCTTGCATTTGCTTACACTCAGATTTAAGTTTCAGAGTTATTGACAAATATAAAGAACGTCTCATTGAATCACATCCTTCAGATGCTACAAAACATCGTTTTTGATCCGCCTGCGTCCTTTTCCTACTATCATAGTTTTCACAGTCGATAGGCATTGCATTCTCTCATCATAGATATTTAAAGATGAAGCCAGTGGTTTATGATGACATTTTAGCGTCATAAGAATCACTGAAAGTATTTGACTGATTAGTAACTGTTATATTGAGTGTTAATAACTTCACTGTTTTGGTTAAATGCGTTTCATTCAAATTTTGAACTTGTTTGCTTGTACCCTTGACCTCAGACATTTTGTTTTCATAGTGTTCGTCTTGCTATTTTGGAATTTTTGCTCCAGATACATAAAAACTGAGGGTTTGTTGTGTAATTGTAATGAAAGCAATATATCGGGGTTGACTAACTGTAATTTATGAATAAACTTCGGTTCCTGAACTGGAGTTCGATTCTCTTGTTATTTGGGTCGTAAGTTACGAGTAGATCAATCAACGTGCTTCAACAACTGACTAGAGTAAACTTTGGACATAACATATGAGTCCTGTGAGCGCGTCTATTATTACATTTATAGAATTCATTAAAATGTTTAATTATGCATACCAGTAAACTTGAGGATGAACAGCCTTATTACGATTTAATTTAATAATAATCCTTCAAATGTTATATCAAGAGCATAAACAAGAACTAAGATGGTAGTGGTTTGAATTTCAAACCGCACACAACAAATATACTGAACACATCTATTATCAGTATTGAACATCTACGTACTGTGAATAGCTTTTATATACAGCGACAAATGCAGATGAAGACAACTAGTGTAGCAGCAATCTCTGCATCAGTAGGCATCAATATACACAAGGGAAAAGCAACATCTTCAAATATAACACAGTGAACACCAACCCAATCACACTTGATGGGCAAGCTCTAGAAGAGGTTGTAGGGCCAGTGAAATGTCACTGAGCCCTAGCCAAATCATCCGGCAGTTGGATCACTGAATGTCGAACAGATCGTCGCTCCCTGCCAAGGTCATGTACTAAAAACGCGCATTAGTTAATCATACGCCATGGACTGGCCCATGCGGCAGTGGTCTTACTTTCGCCTGTATCTACCTTAACTAATATATTTCTGTAATAACGTCCTTTGTGTTGTACAGTCTTCAAAGCATCTATAGTACCTTGTTACGTCAATGGGGGTAGTCCACGTAAGGTGCTGACCACGAGGTGTGACTTCGACGTTAGTTGGTTCGTCACACCATTCACGTCTAACTGGAGTAGGCCTCCAATCATTTCGACATAGATCATCTACGTTGGTGATCTACAAGGTGATAACTTTCACTTACCTGGTCAGGATAATCGATGAACAAGTAGGATTTAATGCAGACGTAAAGGCAAGGATTGGCATTGCAAGGGCGGCATTTTTACAATCGAAGAATATATAAAACTCAAAACAACAGTCAGTCAGTATGGAAGTCAGAATTTTCAATACGAATATCAGGACAGTTCTACTGTACGGCGCTGAAACTTGGAGAACTACTACAACCATCATCAAAAAGTACAGATATTTATAAACAATTGACTACGCAAGATACTGAATATCCGTTTGCCGCATGCTATCAGCAACAGCCTACTGTTTGAAAGAACAAACCAACTCACAGCTGAATAGTTTGTGATGGTAAATAGATCCCAGAAATCAATAACTCTGTAAGTCTTCGACATTGGATACTGACCACATTAGTTTTATTGGACTCAATCAGCTGAGGGCGCTTGGTCATGCATCCGCACCAGATCAAGATTGATGAAATTGCGCTCAATTTTTCCTACAACCACTAGACAGTTTAGATCAGTCACTTCTCGATATATTGATAACCTATCGAATATATCTTCAAACCTCATAGCTTCTGACTTTTGATTTCACTGGGTGGACACGATTCAATTATAGATGTTACCGGTTAATTTATTGTCAAACTGCAAATACATGTGGCGTCTTCAAGTTAACTAATAAAAGACGCTGGAAGTGGAAGGGAGATACATGGTGGAAATTACCAAACTGCATCACGACACAAGCTCCAACTTGGAATCGTCAAGGGAAAATAAAAAGAGGCAGACCAAAGAACGCACTACGCAGGGAATCGGAAGTAGACACCAAAAGAATGAATGGCACTTGGAAACAACTAGAAAGGATAGCCCAGGACAGAGTTCGATGTAGAAGGATGGTGAGCAATCTGTGCTCCTCCACGTGGGGTAACTGGTCTAAGTAAGTTAGTATGATTAGCTTGCCAACATTTCGCAGCTGCTTTTTGATAGTATTGTGGTATATGATTCTAAAAAATGCGTGGTTCATATTGGGTTTGGCAGTTAATATGATTCAACTAACAATGGGTTTCTATTTGTCACTGAGCTATTTTTTTTACAGATTCCCTAAATTGCTTGAGATGCTAGACACTTAAGTGAATTTGTCTTTTTAACAGCTCTACTCAATACGTACTGTTTCCTTCCGATCCACATAGTTCTGTTTCAAATCAACAGCCTGTTCTGTCTATCTTAACTCATTTAAATACATTGGGAGGTATGGTATCTGTGTCGTCAGATGCTGTAGAGTTGGGTTTATTCGGGACTGCGAAGTGTATTAGTCAACTTGCTTATACTACTAGACTTATAGCACTTGTATTTTGTGGTTGAATCGCCATGAGGAGAATTCCAAATGCATACTACAAGTTATAAGAATTAATAATACAGTGACCTAGATGGAGGTTGGTTTCTTCAGGGTTCGGCGACACTGCTTCAACAAAAGCATAATGGTAAAAGTACAGCTTGTTAGAATTTTAAATAATAAACATTTTAATGACCTTTATTGTAGTTAAAGATGATTCATGGGAAACTAGACAGAATATAAGTAAACTTAGTGCTATGTGTCGAAACATCTTTAACTTCACTAAGTGTTTGACCTACAACCCATACGCGCTATGCTTGTAAATCGTCAATGTAGTACTAGTGTTTTTTGTAAATCGATTGGTCGGTACATTAAAGATTAAGATGCTTTGTTGCATTCCAAACGCTCCAGCGACTGTAAGATCCTCTTTAACTCATTTTCAGGGTTTTAGAGACGAATAAAAATTGACCGGTATTCCATAGGTAATCCAATAAACTTTCGACACATTGCACACATGGGTAGCTCAGAAATATCAGATAATAATGTAAGTTCCTTTGAAAAACGTTTGGCAAAAATTTACTTATTACATGTTTCATTTCATGTTTCGATACAAATTTGTTATCATATCTCTTCCATATAGCGTATATATATGGTGTCTTAATTTAACTTTGCGATTCAGACGATCGTTTCAGTTGTGGTTCTTTGGAAGTTTTCCAGCGGCTCTGTTTTTTAGGTAGGGTCTATCCGCTTCTATGACACACTCGAGTTTGGGACAAGCAAACTGTACACAAAGTAAAAAGGTTTTTAGTATCAACATGTATAAAGGGCTCCACATATCGACCACAGGATTCCGAAGTCTGTGACCACTACCCCACAAGAATGCGCAGTATTTTTCAAGTCTTGGCTATAATAATAATACTTATGTCGTTGTGTCTGGACAGCAGGTAGGTCATTGTCATCAAGAATTACTGATGCGTATCCATCAAATAATAAATAGGTTTTAATGAGCAGGTACATTTTGTTTGACCACAATCTGCAAGTTAAAGTTACTTGAAAATCATTGGTATAAACCTTTACAATGACTCAAGAAATTTGACAAAACATTACACTTCATTCCAATCGATTTCGTCATAGGTGGGGATAGACGTGTAGTCATTTCTTGGCAACCCTATTTTTGGCCTCAAATTAATACGGGTTAAATTTTTTTTCTACTACGATTAAAGGAATACATACCGTACATTGCATTACGATTCAAATGTGTGCCTAATCGTCCATAGGCATATGCATAATAAACAATGTTTCTTAATCGAAAACACTACGTAAAAATTGCATTGTTCGTCTCCTCGCTGCATTTAAAGTTCGAAGCTTCGGTTTATTGACGATGCTAAAACTTATACCCATAGTTTTGAAGAAGCAATACTGGACATGTTGAGATTTTATGGGAATTAGACCACTTTATCGGTACAAGATTATCTGATATACATAGCAGGTAATGAAGGATGAAATGCCGAAAATACTGTCTACGAATTTATGAATTTCAGAACAAATTTTTGGATAATGAACAATACACTGTCTTAATTGCAATACTATCTCACTTGTTACCTGTCTTACAAAATGAAATCCTTGCTACGTTACGGTTTACTCTCATACTTTTCATCCTTAGTAAACGTACAAGTGTGCTGAAAGTATACTTATGATAAGCAGTTGGAAGAAAAGTCAGTTTTTACATTTTTTGAACATCCGGTTTAAAAGTTAATCACTTATCGTGGTAGTCCCGCTTGTAATTTAGACGTAATTCTTTACAAACCTTTATCTATGAGTCTAAATTTAGTTAGGCTTGATATTTTGTCAATATTTTCTGTTTTTAGTGTGTCCTATTTTACACACTTAAATATACACTTTATCCTATCCTTAAAGGCATGCAATTCTTTTGGTCTCCTCGACCAACAATCTCTACCAGTGCACTTAAAATTGATTGACTTACCTAATCTTTCAAGTAACAACAACACTTCAGTATCATGTGGTCCTTTAACTCCGTCAAGTTTATGTGTCAGTTCTACAGTTTCATTTACTTTTACCACTCAATCACCAATGTCAACAACTATAGCAAAGTCAACCAAAAGGAACTCGCTTTTGGATCCTAATTCTGTGTTACATGAGCCTTGTAAAACAACTCACGTTGTTATGCGCCATTCAACTCACTTGAGCAATCTAAAGCCAGAATCACCTCGTCTCGATCTCAGTTTGCCGTTGCCTCCACCACCACCTCCCCCTCCTCCTGTTAATCCTGCTAATCTTCGTTCTATGTTACAGTCATCTTAACAAAGTGAATTATCTCTCAGCAGTTAATCGTATTTCCTTTATTTTATCCAATTGGTCCTCTGATTTGAAGCATAATTTTCACTATTGTTCCCTTGAGCCATTTTTTCCTGTTATTTGATTACAAACACCAGGTTAGTTTTTTTAATGATAAGTTTCAACCCGTATTTAGTTATTTGATTTTACCATAACTTATGAATTCCATAGATTTCAAAAGGCATGAATTTACCAAATCGGCTGATATGAATGTTTGTGAGCTAATAGCCGTTATGTTTGTTACTTTCATTACAATTTGAACGTGCTACGAATCCAAAAGACTGCGTGAATTTACGTCATAATATTTATGTGGTCTAACCTTTATAGTAAGTGGTGAATTTCATATATCGTTACTGGACTTTTGGATCTGTTATGGAAGTACGACACTTCGCACTGATCAGTCTAAACTGATGAATTATTCTGTCGATAAAACTGACAAAAACTACCACAGTATCCTTCTTGTAATAGTCTAATCGCTAATTCTTAGATGGATTATCGTCAGTTATATAGAATGAATATACCTTTGTCTAAGCAGTCGATCGACCGTACCTCTAATATGGCTTTCAAATGCTAGTAGTGATCGTTATTTTAATTGTTTCTCCACAATTTTGAAAACCACTACCTATAATGGCCTAGGCAACTATATTGTTATATCAGTTTCTACATGAAAAATATGGCTTTTTCGACACTGCACGTTGTTAACAAGTTCATTATTGTGTTATTTACTTTGTTATGTAAGATTGATATTTAATCGTGTTGTTGATTTCAACATACTAAAGATAGTTCATCAACTTTTTTGGAATCAGCACGAAAATATTGTCGTTATTTTTGTTACTCTTTAAGTTTCGATTCTCCGATGGATATTCTACACTAGTTATCAGTTCTTTCATCTTTTTTCATTATATCATTAGTTCCCGACCGTTGTTGCTACCTTGACGTGGTGGTAGGGCTTGCCTATCGTGATGAAGCAACCGAGCTATACTGGCTGGAACAACCGTTCCTCAAGGTCCTACCATGTCAGACAGGTCGGTTGAAGAGCGGTAAGACTAAAAGCAACAAACCCAAGGTCCGAAGGCGAAGTCGTACTGCTGACTGTACAGAGGTGTGACAGCAGTAAGGTGTTTCCTTCAGACAACCAGCATGACAGCGATGCTGCCTTCCCACAAGGAGGGGTGGGGTTAGAACAGGTTGACCCTAAAAATGCGCACCTCGCCTTACCTCACGGGTTTCCGTCTAAGAAACGACCGTGAGCAGTGGTGGGCAACGAAAGCAAAAGAGATGGAAAAGGCGGCGGCTATAGGGAACACAAGACAGCTTTACAGACTAATAAAAGAAACTGGAATTAATAAGTCAAGTGTAAATGAGATTATTTCGGAAAAAGACGATACACTCATTTGCTCCCAGTCCAGGCGTTTAGAACGATGGACGGAACATTTCAGAGAACAGTTCAGCTGGCCTTCAGCTACTCTACAACTACCCACAATTCCCAGACAGTGTGAATGGAACATTGAAGTGGGTCCCCCAACTCTTGCTGAAGTTCAAAAGGCTATAGTTAATCTGAAACGAGGAAGGGCAGCTGGTCCAGATGGATTGGCTCCAGAGGTCTTTGAGGATGATGGTCCAATTTTAGCGATTAGGTTGACTAATATTTTAGCTAAAATCTGGGAGTTAGACGTTATCCCATCTGACTGGTCGTAATCACTTATCGTCCCAATATATAAGAAAGGGTCAAAATCATCCTGTGACAACCACAGAGGGATTAGTTTAACTAATATAATATCTAAAATACTAGCCTCGATAATTATCAGACGCCTAACTAAGACTCGTGAACTGCAAACACGAGAGAACCAAGCTGGCTTTAGACCTGGTCGTGGCTGCATCGACCACATATTCACCATTCGTCAGATTCTAGAACACAGGCATACTTATCGACGTCCGACAATGGTGGTCTTTCTTGACTTAAAAGCAGCATTTGACTCTGTAGACCGCGAGATTCTGTGGCAGTGTCTGTCATTGAAAGGCGTACCTCAGAAGTACATAAACCTTGTAAAGGCTCTTTACTCGAACACTACTAGTCGAGTCAGAGCTTATGGCGAACTGTCATCTACTTTTGCAACTTCAAGTGGTGTCCGTCAAGGCTGTCCACTTTCCTCATTTTTGTTCAACTTCATCATAGATCTACTGATGGAAATAACATTCTCGTCGACTGAGTTCTCGGGTATTGATCTCCTACCAGGAGGTCCACTTATCGACTTAGAATACGCAGATGACATAATCCTGTTTGGTGAAGACGCTGACAAAATGCAGAGTCTTCTGGTAGCACTGAGCAACAATGCCAGAATGTTTGGAATGCGCTTCTCTCCCTCTAAATGCAAGTTGTTGCTTCAGGACTGGTCTGCGTTAACACCTGAACTAAGGATAGGGAGTGAAGTAGTCGAACGCGTTGACAACTTCACTTATCTTGGAAGTCTGATCAGCCCTAATGGGTTGGTATCGGACGAAATCTCAGCACGGATTCGAAAAGCTCGATTGGCTTTTGCCAACTTGCGTCACCTATGGCGAAGGCGAGATATCCGTCTATCAATAAAAGGACGAGTATACTGCGCGGTAGTCCGTTCTGTTTTAATTTACGGCAGCGAAACATGGCCACTAAGAGTAGAAGACACTCGTAAGCTATTAGTATTTGACCACAGATGCCTTAGAAATATTGCTGGCGTCTGCTGGGATCACCGGGTAAGTAATAGTGAGGTTAGACGCAGGGTATTAGGGAATGATGATAAATCAGTTGATGAGGTTATGAATCTTCATCGACTGAGATGGTTGGGCCACGTGTTACGTATGCCTGAACACCGATTACCACGACGTGCAATGCTATCCGGTATTGGAAATGGTTGGAAGAAAGTTAGGGGCGGCCAAACCAAAACGTGGCATCAGTGCTTGAAGTCACTAACGTCTAGTCTGAGCCATGTTGGTAAATGCAGACTACTTGGTTGGGGTCCGCGTGACTATCGTAACCAATGGTTGGAGACTCTTGGTGACCTGGCTCAGAATCGATCACAATGGCGTCGGTGTATACACTTCCTGTCTTCCCTTAAACTAAGAGATTAAAATCTCTTTATATTTTTCTTTCTACGAACTAACTCTTTCTTCCTGTACTATATCTCTGTATGCAATCTTTCTCTTACATATTACTACCTTTGACCTAACCACTGCTATGAATCCGGTGTTCATCTTGTTGTGCTGATGCGGTATGGCAACCTGGACCGATGCACATATGTGCCTGGTCCTACGTTGTAGCTGACTGACTGACTGATATCATTAGTTGCACATTGCCTTGTTGCTAGAAGTGTGTGGGTGGTTGTCGATTCTTGGTTCCTCAAACCTTTGAAACGTATTTTTTGTTGTGTTAGCTCCGTAATTTCAATACCTTACCATCAGCAATTTAAATTCTTTTTGGAGGGATTATTTTTTTCAGACAAATCTTTTCTAATATTTTCCTCTTGTTGTGAGGATGCTGGTTGTTTAAAGGAAGTGCATACTTCAGCCATTAGCAGTACAACTTCACCATCAGACTCTAAGTTCGCTGCTATTTAAGTTATATACTTGGCAAGATAGGACCTAAAACACTGATATTTTAGCCAATATGGCTCCATTAAGCCGTCAGAATACAAGGGTCAGAGTCCTATATCAATGTACTAGTTGTGATCCTTGATTTCCTGACTAGGCTTGTTAAATAACGGCTGCGTCCTTGGTGCATAGTATTCTATTTTGATAAGATGAAGAGTTTGTGGAAGTATAATGCTTTGAATACTTAGAATAAAAATCCAGAGATTTTCCAGTCTGGATGTTGTTTTCACAATGAATGATAATCTTTTTAAACTGATATGCCTCATTTACTGTCAAGACCATAGGTGCTGAGTTGTTAGAACATAGACCGTTTCATATCCGCTTGATTATAACGGAAACAAGACTCCTTTAATTGGTTGATTTTAAGGTGGCTTTGTTATACTAATTGGGATATTCATTTCTTACATTTAAAAAGTGCCTGGGAAACCAGCCGAATAAATTGAAAGGTTCAGCTATTGATGTAGTATTAAGAATACCACTCTAATGTTATTCATGAAGTTCTAACTGGAAGATTTTAGAATATATATGTTATAAAGGTTTCTTCTGTTTGGTCATTTTATTCATCCTAAACAAATTCATTAGTAGTGTTATGAGCGAAAACACAGGTGGGGACAACCAATGTATTTTAATACAATATTACAGAGTATCTTGTTAAAATATAAGAACCATACACTGAATACTTCATTTGCAAATTTCCATCATTTGTCCTTCATATTCTGTATGATTCTTCCTGTTCACAATTCATTTCTATTTCCCATTCTATTCTCTTCAACTTGATCTTCTTAGGTTTCTGCTGCCAAGTTTTCCACTTCCGATTGGCGCCACATACTACTTATGTTCACGGACATAAGTAGCATACACCACAGTAAGACCTTATCTTTTGGTGAAGAAAACGATTGTACTACACCCTTATAAAACACTAATAATAAGTTACTAATAAATGTATGTTATCATCAACACCGGTTAACCAGGTACATTTTGCATACTTATTATCAAACCACACGCAAACTATAACCTCTAGTGATGCTATCCTGTTGCTCAAGCCAAAGTAGATAGAATAGGGCTCGTACATGCAACTTAATGACTTAAAGTCAAACGAATTAGTCGCTGAGTGATCACTCCATTTGACCTAACCACTGCTATGAATCCGGTGTTCATCTTGTTGTGCTGATGCGGTATGGCAACCTGGACCGATGCACATATGTGCCTGGTCCTACGTTGTAGCTGACTGACTCCATTTATCATCACATTTCTGAGTTATATTCACTGGATGTTCCATTTTCCGATTAAAAACATAGATGAAGCGAAAAAAACGCCTATCACTTACACTACAGTTTTGT